TATATCGGAGGTCACGAACACACATCCTGTGCAGTTCTACAATAAGACCACTCGGGGTGGCGTCTACACCCGAGGATCTTCCGGGGAATCTGTCACCGTTTCGGTCTCCCTCTAGTGGCCCTCTTCGTGTTCCCTTTTCAATGCACAGCTGGATCGCTTCCTTTCACACCTTTCGATGGTCGGAGCGGAACAAACGGACTCTCTTCGGAGTCCTTGGCCTATGGGTCTCCTTTACGCCTCCCTCCTCTACCTATTCTTCCAGCCGTGGTTCGCACGCTTCTTCGGGAGCGAGTGGAACTCCTCCTGTTGGCTCTTTATTGGACCAGGTGACCTTGGTTCACCGACCTGGTGAATCTTTCCCTGGAGGAACTTTGACGGATTTCACCAGAACAGATATCTCTCAGTCAAGGGACCGTTCGACGTCAGGACCCACAATGGCTCCAATTAGCCGCCTGGCGCCTGCAGGTTCAATCTTAGCTAGTGACCTCTGCTCCCCGGGGGTCATCACAGTCATTCAGGCATCGCGCCGTTCATCCACGAACCGCATCTATGAGGCCATGGGGAAAACATTCCCAATTTTGGTGTTCCGGACATTTGTCGCTCACGGAACTGACTATTCCAATTGTTTTGGACTACTGGTTAGATGGTTTAAGTAAGGGATTAGTCCCTCGCACGCGGCACAGACAGGTTACAACTTCGTACACGGTCCTCAGTTGCGACTGTGGAATCACTAGGTCATCACCAATGGATATGGTCGTTCCTTAAGGGGGCCGCCATCAACAAATCCCGGTGGTGCACAGGTACCCATCGCGGGAACTGCCACGCGTGCTTCGTGACATCAACATAATTCCTTTGAGCCACTCAGGACGGGTGACATTCGCGTACTGTCCCACAAGGTGGCATTCCTGATGGCAATTACGTCTGCACGTCGCATTTCGGATTTGATGACATTGTCAATACGGGACACTTCGTGTGTTTTCAACAGGTTAGGGTAATTCTTCGCCTCGACCCTGTCTTCGTCCCAGAAGTCAATTCCCTGTTCCATAGATCACGGTAGATAGTGTTACCTTATTTCTGGTCCAGCCCATCGCATGCGTTGGGGCAGCATTTGCATAGTCTGGTTGTCCGCAGGACCTTTCGGTAC